AAAAAAAAAGAAAAAGGACTCAAGCAACTGAGTGTGTGCAGTGTTTCATACCTGTAACCCCAGCTTCTCAGGTGGCTGAGGCAAGAGTACAAGTTTGAGCCCAGCCTGTGCCACTTATTCACACTATCTGAAAATTTAAAAGGGCAGGGAATGTAGCTCAATGCTCCCTGGGTTCAATTCCTAAGACCAGGACAGGGGAAGGGGAGAGAATTCACACAACTGCAGTTAAGAGTCCACTCTGTAGGCACTGTAAGCCTAAAATCCAATAAGAAACAAATTGGACGGAGAAATCTGAGAACAGAAAGTACAGATGGAGAAGTTTCTGTGCTGGGGACATCCTGCACCTACCCCAACTCACGGTGCCATCTGGTGCACTCTATTCTAGAGACGGCCTTCAGTCAGGTATCCCAGCTTGCTGTAGGACACTCAGCCCAGAGCCCAGAACCCAGGGCCTAGCATTTCACCCCAGAGCCCAGAACTCCTAGTTCAGCCCCTCACCTGATTTCCACCCTGTGAGATTTCCACGGCACACAAAACAAACCAGAGCCGGAATCAAGTCAACAACTTTATTGTCAGTCACATAACTTCATACAAAACGAAACTTTGCAAATGGGTCACAGTTATTTAAAAAAAAAAAAAAAAAGGTCCAGGTTGTTTCTGTCGTTCTATGTACACGTGGGAGCAGGGCTCGGCGCAATCAGGCGCAGCAGCTGCACTTGTCCGACGCCCCTTTGCAGACGCAGCCGTGGGCGCATTTGGCACAGCCCGCGGGGCAGCAGGAGCAGCAGCCTGGGGCGGAGAAAGAGTGGCAGAGATGAGCACTGGGGAGAAAGAGACAGTGGCTCCCGCCCTCCCTCACAGGGATCCCCGGAGGCGCCAACTTCCACCAGGACGACTCAGCCTCCGGGACTGCTCGATCCCCCCACCCCCACCCCCCAGGACGGTATGGCGGGCTGGGCACAGGTTGCGGGCGTGACGGGATAGAGGGCAGAGAGGGTCGCACTCACTCTTCTTGCAGGAGGCGCATTTGCACTCTTTGCACGTGCAGGAGCCGGCGCAGGTGCAGGAGCCGCCTGGAAGGAGGAGAAGGGTAAAAGAACGTGGTCCCATGAGCGCGGGAGAGCCTGGGAACCGTCCCTTTAGCTTTACCCGGGGCCCGAGCTCACCCCAGCCCCACAGCAGGCCAGGCCTCCTTACCGGCAGCGCAGGAGCAGTTGGGGTCCATGGCGAGAAGGGCGGCGGCTGGGCTGGAGTCCGAAGGAAAACGCACGTAGGTGCTGGAGGCTTCGGAGGAGGCGTGGTGGCGCGCCGTGCTCCGCGCGCTACTTTTATAGTCCGTAGGCGCGCGGCGAGTGCAAAAGCTCCGCCCGGCACTCACCGGGCGCAGAGTCACGAGTGGCGGGCGCCCTAGGGCCGAGCGCACGGCTTGTGCACACGGGCCGCAGAGCGCGGTTCCCAGAAGACGCCCACGTGAGCCTCCGGGCCGCCCTGGCGCAGGGGCCGGGTGCAGAGCGACGGGACGCTCTGGCCCGTGTGGCGCGCGCTACGTTGTGCACCGAGCACCCTGACCCTGGGTCCCTCTGCCGCGTGCACAGCTCCCCTCCCGCGTCCTATATCTAGACCTGAGCGGCTAGAGCGCCGGCAAAAGCGGGTCTTGGGGATCCTGTTCGCAGGAAAGACCGGTAGTTGGTGTGTACCAGCCTAGGTTTAGGCATTGTGTTGCATTGTAATAAATGGAGGGAAGCCAGGCACGGAGGCCCACACCTGTAATCCCAGCACTCTCGGAGGCTGAGGCAGGAGGAG